GTGACGCAATTAGGTGATTTACTCAAAGTGTGTCTATGATAATTAGAAGTATTTGAATTGTAGTATGAACTAGTAATCCCAGGAATAACGCAATTTAATCAAGAAGTACCAGATGAACTCGAACGAATGTATTGTATTTGGAATTCAAAATTACAACAGTCATCAATACGAAGAAGTCATTGATTTATTTAAACATCACATCCGCCACAGCTCGAATTGGAGTGTAAGTGTCTGTAATCGATTGTTCGTCCTCTTCTTAAGTTCATCTTACATCTGTCCGACGGTGTATTGGATGTAGACTCTGTATTATCTAGAATGCACTCATTAGTATTAGAATTAACAACCGAAATTGGAACAGACTCACCTGGATTCTGGTATTGTATTTGATCAACGTGTCGGTTATGTATGGTCAAGTCATTGATATCCAGAATTCGCACCATAGATTTTCCAACATTCTTCACCACGATCCCCGTGGCTGGTCGAAGATCATTACCACGATAATACGTAACTTCTGCAGACTCCAAACACCTCATATTCGAACGGAGAATTCTTCCTTTTAATAGCTTTGATGGAGTCTCTTTCGTCACAGAATGCTTAGCATTTCTATATTGAAGTAGAAATGTATCTACTCCCCTCTCCAGTTCATTGAATGTCGAAGCAGCAATAGAATCAATAGCAATTTTCAATGTTCTTACGAAATTTTCTGCCTGACCATTGGAACAAGGGTGCCTGGGAGCCGTAAACAGATGTCTGCACCCTATACCATTTAACCAATTAGTGACTGCATCTGCAGCAAAATGAGAGCCATTATCAGTCACCAACACCATGGGAACTCCTTCTCGACTAAACACCTTCCTTAATGCTTGAATTGTGAAGTCAGAATTCGGTGAAGTTGTGAAAAAAACTTCAGGCCACTTAGAAAAAGAATCAATAATTACAAGTGCATAGTATTTGCCAAGAAATGGACCACAGTAGTCTGCATGAATTCTCTGCCAGGCCTCAGACGATACTGGCCATGGAGTCCACTTCGAAGGCAGACTTTTTAGCTTATGACATTTCTCACAATTGTTTGCTGTACGACATATATCTGCATTTATCTCTGGCCACCAACATGTGAGTCTTGCTAAGGATTTCATTTTCTCAACACCAAGATGTCCACTATGAAGATCATCAAGGACAGGTTTGCGTAATGAAGGAGGAATAACAACACGATCATTTAAACACAAAATACCGTCAGGAGTAGTAGATAACTCGTTCCGCTTTGAATAATAGACAGGAAATCTACGTTTCAGATTAGCATTCCAACCCTTCCGTATAGCACTGAGTATACATCCAAAGTATCTACGAGTTTCTCTAATGAGATCTGGACGTCTCACCGGTAAAGGTTGCACTAACAAGCAGTCTGAAGTATTAACAGGTCTATCTTGTAATGGTTGTCGAGAAATGTAGTCAACGTGTTGAATTTGTTTTGCACTCCTGTGCTGAATCGTATAGTCATAAGCACTCAAAGCAATACTCCATCGTTGAACCATAGCAGCTGAGGAACGTGCTAAGGATTTGTCAGGATGATAAATGAACTTTAAGGCTTCATGATCAGTAACAATGGTAAACTTCTTTCCAAATAAATGTTTATGAAGTCTTTTAACAGCCCAAAACACAGCTAACGCTTCTCGCTGCGTTTGTGAATAACCTTGTTCAGCAACAGAAAGTTTGCGTGAAACACATATAACTGGCCTACCTTCCTGTTCCAAAACTGCACCAATACCTACAGGTGACGCATCAGTAATAAGAACAGAATGTACACTGGGTGAGTAAGTTCGAAGGACAGCATCACTTTGAAGAAACTTTAGCAGACTTCGTAGGCATGACTCTTGTTCTTCACCCCATTTGAATGAATTGGATGTCAAAATATTAAATAAACAATTGGCACGACAAGAAAAATTAGGAATAAAACGAGAATAGTACTGAAGAGCACCCACTAGTGAACGTAATTCTGTGATGTTTTTTGGAGACGGTGCATTTGTCAGTGGAGCTAGTCGTTTCATATCTGGTCTAAAACCATTACCATCAACTAGGTATCCAAGGCATTCAAAACTAGATACACTAAATGAACACTTATTTGGATTCACTGTAATATTCTTCTCAATTAAACGACGCAATAAAGCAATAAGTCTCTGGTCATGGACTACTTTATCAGCACCATGAACAATGAGATCATCTTGATAAACTTCAACACCTTCAATATCGCTGACTATTTTATTCATGACCTCTTGAAATATGGCTGGAGAACAACTAAGACCAAATGGAAGGAAGTTGTATTTGAACAGACCAAAAGGAGTGTTAATTGTTGTCAAGATAGATGAAGGTTGGTCTAAAGGGATTTGAAGATAAGCATCTTTCAAGTCAACTTTCGAGAACACTTTAGAACCATGAAGCCGATTTAGAATATCTTCAGCCTCCATCGTCGTGCATGTTTGCTTCAACAAACGGGAGTTCAGTGTCAATCTGTAATCACCGCATATTCTAGGGGTCTTGCCATCCGATTTCAATGGCGTAACAATAGGAGTACCCCATGCTGAGGACTGAACTGGTTCAATTATACCTTTCGCACACAAATCATTCAGTGACTTATGTACTGCTTCTCGAAGACCATAAGGAATTATTCGTCTTTTAAGAAAGACCGGATCACCCTGTACTTGAAGTTTAATGGGCTGAATTTTCATACCTCCACTACACTTAGCACACACAGCTATCAAATCCTTGAGTAAAGCATCAGAATTCTCTGTAGAAACTAGTAGAGACAATTCCACTTTAAGCCTTTTCAGATTTTTTAAACCCAGTATGGACAGTCCTGTTTCACTAACTAAAAATTCACAAGGTACGTATGAAGAATTATCATCTCTTATTAGCAATTTACAACATCCTCGTATAGGTAGTCTGTGTCCAGTAATCCCCAGTATTGAGACCTCAGTGGGTTTTACCACAACATTAGGATCTAAAGATTTCAAGTTCTTGAATGAAATAATGGACTCTATACTACCTGTGTCCACAATAAAGTCATGAAATGAACCAAGGGATGTATATAATCGCTTTTGAATATGAACATTCCCTTTTGAAGTAGTGGATAAAGATAAATGATCATCAAGAACAGCCGAATTATTGGGATCTAAGTTACCAGACTTAGTAATACTTGAAGCAAAGTGAACAGTAGTTTTGCACACTGACTGAATGTGTCCTATCTTGCCACATTTAAAACATTTAGCATTACGAAATGTACATGAATTACGAAAATGAAATTTGCCACAAGATAAGCATTTACCAAACTTATTCTCACCTTTGTTGTTTGCTTTGCAGTTCCTTGTTAAACCACCTTTCATATTTCCCCGGGAATAGCAATCACGATTACACGAACGCAAATTTGATCGACCCTGAGATTGTAATTCATCATGACGACTAAGCAAAGTATTAGAAATTTTCATCGATTGAATATCAAGTTCATTCACTGCTTCGTAGTTAATACATGCAGTTCTAGCATCTTGAAAAGAACAGTTCGGCATTCTTAACAGCTCCTTTTCCAGACCTGGTATGTTAATTCCAGCAATTAACCGATCTCTCAACTGTACATGAAGCTGATCACCAAAATTGCATTTGGCAGCTTGTCTTTGCAATTCAAGGATGAAGTCTTTAACCTTCTGGTTATCCTGACGAATCATCTTATGAAATTTTGCTCTCTCACGACACTCAAAACTGGTGCACTTCACATGGTTTAATAGTAATTCCTTGAGAGTTGTATATGGGAGTGAAATCGGCTTATCTGGATATGCCAAGGTTTTTAATAAACTGTAGGCTTCTTGACCGATGAATGTAAGAAAATGTGCCACAATTTTGTCACCCTTCATATCTTTCTTGGTCATGCTCCATATCTCAAACCTTTCAAGGTAATCCTCACAAGCTTCAGAAGTTGAATGAATGTCCAACTGTTGTATCGCAGGCTCCATCGCGACGCCAATATGATAATTAGAAGTATTTGAATTGTAGTATGAACTAGTAATCCCAGGAATAACGCAATTTAATCAAGAAGTACCAGATGAACTCGAACGAATGTATAGTATTTGGAATTCAAAATTACAACAGTCATCAATACGAAGAAGTCATTGATTTATTTAAACATCACAGTGTCCTATCCACTTCCAACGCTTTTTCTTCATTTTGCCCTCCACTGGATGGAATGTAGTTTGTTTTTACCCACAGTAGGTTATTGCTGATAATGTCTGGCCATCGGATCCGAAGTATCTTGCTTAGACAACTGTTAATAAATACCTGTATCTTCTGGATGATGGCTTTCGTAGTTCGTCACGTCTCCACTCCATACAGTAGAACTGTCTTCACATTTGTATTGAAAATTGTAACCGTGGAGTTGGTTGACAATTATTTTGAGTTCCAGATGTTTTTCAGTCGTAAATATGCTGCTGTTGCTTTGCCGATCCTCGCCCTCACATCTGCATCTGATCCGCCGTGTTCATCAATGATGCTGCCCAGATATGTAAAGGTTTCCACATCCTCCAAAGCTTCTCCGTCAAGTGTAATTTGATTGGTGCATATTATGTTGTATCGGAGAGTCTTGCTTTTCTCTTTGTTTATATTGAGACCTACTGCTGCTGAGGCTGCTGCTACACTGGTCGTTTTCTCCTGCATTTGTTGTTGCGTTTGTGATAGAAGAGCCAGATCATCCGCGAAGTCTAAATCGTCAAGCTGCATCCTGCCTGTCCACTGTATCCCGTGCTTTCCTCCAGACGTTGGCGTCTTCATGATCCAGTCGATCACCAGGAGAAAGAGAAAGGGTGAGAGTAAGCAACCTTGCCTTACACCGGTCTTTACCTCGAATGTTATTTACATTCACTTCGTTGTAATCTAATTTTTGTAAACATTTTATGACATTACAGTCCTAATATTGATGTCAGCTAGTTAACTCATTTGTGATTGGCTCATAGTTTTATTAATGATTGGTTGTTATGTTTAAAGGACTGACCTGTCTACTATACACTATAAAAACAGTCTATAACATTGAACATAGAAAATCATTTCTACACTATAATGTTTCAACCCTATTTAAGGTCTATAATCTTTGTCAGTATATTAGCATTTGCTTCATTATTATCATTATGTATATTACATCCTTTTCTTTGGTTACTCATCAATAAACAAACACGCCTAAATCCAGGATCTACTCTTTATTCCGAATGGTTACAACCATCTGTACCTATTTTTATACAATTTTATTTTTTTAATTTAACAAATCCATCCGAATTTCAATCTGGTCATAAACCTCATATTCAACAATTAGGACCATATACATATTATGAGAAACGTGCTAAATTCAATATATCCCATGAGAATGGATCTATTACTTATAAAGAAATTAAATGGTATTATTTTGATCCAAATTTATCCAACGGTAACGAAAATGACACCATCACAAGTGTTAATCTAGCTTATATAACCATAGCAACTAAGCTTAATTTCATGCCATGGCCTATTAGTAGAGTCATTGAACAGATTGAAGAACATTTTCATGAATATCTATTTATTACAAAAACTGTTAATCAATTATTATGGGGTTATGAAGATGAATTATTAACATTTATATCAAATCATTTTATTAATATTTCAACAAATATTGGTCTATTCATCAATAAAAATAATACCCTTAGTGATTACGTAACAATTAATGATGGTAACCATGACAACAAAAAGATTGGTCAAATTATAAAATATCATGGAAATAAAACATTATCTTGTTGGAAAACATTAACAGCTAATATGATTAATGGTACTGATGGTTCTATATTTCATCCATTTATAAATAAAAATGAAGATCTTTATATATTTGCATCGGATATATGTCGTTCATTACAATTTGGGTTTGATTCAATAGTAAAGATCAATAAGTTACCAGTATTGAAATTTATTCCCTTATCAGATATATTTAAATCACCTAAATATTATGAAAAAAATAAAGGATTTTGTTTAAATTGGCCTAATTGTTATGATGATGGTATATTAGATATGTCATCATGTCAATCTGGTGCACCAATTGTTATATCACAACCACATTTTTTAAATGTAAGTTATAGTTTTATTTTGTTATATCATCTTAGTGAATCTTAAACAGTTATAGATTAGAAGGGGTTTTGTGGAGATAGACCGCCAATGGAGAACGTGGAAGCATTGGACGGTCGTTTCGTCCTATTATGGGACTCTTCAGCAGTGCTCATCCACGATCCCGTACTCGCGAGAATTGAACCCTGGACCTACCAGTCTCGCGCCAGAGCACTTAACCTCTAGACCACTGAGCCATCATCCAACGGTGGTTTATCTTCAATTGACTATGATAATACTGAGATCTCCACAAAAACCCCTTCTGGTTTATAATCATATGCTCATTAATGACTGGCTCCATGAGGTATTTCCTGGAGTTCCAGTGAGAAGCAATTACCAGTGGAGTTCAACCAGGTCTGTTGGGAGATATCAACTCACTGGAGACATTGGTGAAATGGTTGCTCAATTTCGTGGATTGGTTAAAGTTAGACATTAACACCGTTGGATGCCAGCTCAATGGTCTAGAGGTTAAGCGATCGCGCACTCGACTGATAGGTCCTTTGTCCGAATCTCACGACGTGAGGTCATGGATGCTCACTACTGAGGAGTCCCGCAATAGGATGAAACGGCCGTTCAGTGCTTCCAGGTTTTCGATGATGGTCTAGCTTCAATTGACTCATGATTTCAACTGTGAATTATTTTCACATTAATCATGAAAAAAACTTATTTTCTGTGTTTATTATTAAAGCACATTGATCTTAGACTATCAGTAAATGAAGTTCAAACACAATATCGTTTTATAATATTTATTCACATTTAATCGATAAAATAAACTTCCTCCGTTTTCGCTAGTTACAAATAAAATACAAATTTAATATCTTGTATTGATTTATATGTCAATTCTTTTTTATTACGAACTAATTATTGAAAGATAGATACTAATAGATCAATGGCCCAAAATGACCTGGTACGGCCGAGAGTTGGGAGAGTCCACTCTCTCCAAATGCTCTCATATGGCCACGCGTATATAGCCTCTGTCAGGGAAGTCCTACTCACTGCCTTCTCGTGGCGGAGGTGTTGTTTACAAAATTGAGAGGATGAAAAACGAATGTCCGGCGCTTTAACCGGGTTGGTGGACAGGGGAAGTCCACCCAGTGGAGTTGAAAACCCTGATTCCAAATCAGTGGTATACATGGGCTCCAGGATCCTGAGGGAAAAAATGACGTACGAATCAATCGTTGGTCACCGACTACCATAGGACTGCATCCCCTTACGATGCTCCACTGCCTTATGGATCAGACTTTCACGTCCAAGGCTCCGTGTGTGACACCCTAAGAAAACCACCTGCTTCAGTTTGGGCACCTGGTCAGTATCCCACCCCTCACATAAATCGAATGATTTGTGTGGTGCATATCTTTTCGATGCCTTCTTGTACCATTGTTTATATGTTTAAATAAATAAAAATAGATCAATGAACTTGATTAGAATAACAAGCATATACATACGCTTTGTTCATATACGTCAGTTTGACCACATCTCACCACATGAAATGAGGTTTTCCGTCTTCATTGATTGTTACGTAACTAAATCAAATTTTATATTACATTTTCGAGTCCCAGATTGAATATCAACTCTGAGATGCATTCAGCTGATTAGTCCCAAATAGGACGAAACGCGCGTCCTGGATTCCACTGCTAGCCACTATCCATCTTTGCTTACAATTACATTTTACGTTCATTTAGTACATAAATGTAGCAAATAAAACATTTTTTAGGTCATATTTTCACCTCAGATAGTTATCTTTATGATAGTTTCGTTTTTTTTAGTTGATACAATGTCAACATGAAAGCGTTAAATACATGACCTGATTATTCAAAATTGAAATTTTATCTATTACAACACCATAATCAAATAGGCTGAAAGGTCACAGAGCATAAGAGTAGCAAACTATGCCATCTGTCATGGCCATCCATTCATGAATCTGATCGATTTAACTAGGTTCCGAATAATTGGTTATACAGATTTCCTTTTTTTGGTTTGTTTATCTTTGACTACTTCCTTGCAAAAGCTCATGATGGAATGTCGGCTGATACAATCAAACTTTTTCATTACGGTTACCTGGATTTTTACCAATAAGGCTTTATATTTGATAAGTTCCCTACATTCGGTGTCTAAAATAGTGCTAGTGTAGTGAACAGAGCACGGGTGGGGATAGTTGACAATCATAAAATAAATAGTTAATTTGCAAACTATTAATTCATTGTCTCAATCTTGACTGTTTCTTCTGCAAATATCAATCTATCATCTCCAATTATTATTGTTCATGCATTTTCATACCAATTGCGTTACGTTCTAGTTCGTTCGTTACGGATCTTTTACTGAAATACATTCAATGCCCGACCATCGTTATATACTACTTATGTGGATATAAGCAGCCAACACCACACTAGTTATAATATGATGTTTTATTGATTTTTTTCATTATGTATATAGGTCATGTTTATATTTTGTTATTTCAGTTAGTTTGTAACAATTATCTCATGATTTCAACTATATATAAAAAATTACTAAAAATCTCTACGAAAAACCCGCTTATCATATGCACACTAGTGACTGGCTCCATGAGGTATTTCCTGGAGTTCCAGTGAGAAGCAATTACCAGTGGAGTTCAACCAGGTCTGTTGGGAGATATCAACTCACTGGAGACATTGGTGAAATGGTTGCTCAATTTCGTGGATTGGTTGAAGTTAGACATTATCATCGTTTGATACCTGCCAGCTTAGTGGTTTTAGAGGTTAAGCACTCGCGCGCGATACTGATAGGTCCGGGTTGGAATCTCCTGAGGCAGGATCGTGGATGCGCACTACTGAGGAGTCCCACAGTAGGAAGAAACGGCCGTTTAGTGCTTCCAGGTTTTCCATGGTGGTGTAGCTTCAATTGACTCATGATTTCAACTATATATCAAAAATTACTAAAAATCTCCACAAAAATACTTTGGAATTCTTGGTCACCAGTAATTTAATGTCATTCATAAATGTAAAATATTCTTTCACATATTTGGTGTTTATACTTAATCAAATGGTTAAATTAATTGTGCTTTCTTTCATTGATTATTTGTGAGTATATTGGACTGTCATATTTCAGTAGGTGAATTTAAGTCAGTAAAGATTGAATTTAATCAATACTTGTATGCATTTACAATGTGGTCAGAAATATATACTATGCTGAACTGTACTGTATAAGAAACAATCAACAAGTTGTTTACTTTGTTTAACTGTTTCAGGATCCCAGAGACCTTAGTAACAGATAATTCGTCTTTAACCTGTTCACACAACTCTGTGATGTGAATGGGATAATTTGCTTATGCTTGCCATCCTATTAACGTCAATCTAATAGACAAGCAGAACTCATCCTAGTTACTAGGAGAGCATTGCTTAAAGGACGAAACAAGGGGACGCCGAGTCAAGTAAATACTGAGTTCTTAGCATCTTACAGACCTAAACCAACCATGTTGTGTAATAAGGGAAATCACCGGCGGAAGTAATGTTTGGGAGAAGCATCTGGACAACTTTCAACGTCATGCTACCGCCTAAAAGAGTAAATGTCCAGAGAAAAAAGTAGACATATTCTCAGTTTTGATCTAGGTGAAAGAGTATGTATCAAACCATACCGGGCTGGAATGCTATTGGAACCAGAAATAGTTGTACATAGATTGGGCAGAGTTTTGTTAAAGTCCAGAGGAGCTTTTAAAACATTGATTGGACATAAGAACAAAGTCCGTAAACATAAAAGAATGATCACAATTGATTGATCACTGGGTGGTGATCAATGTCATGCGTTTCAAGTCCTTCTTAGTGCTGATCAAATGCTATCGATCAAGTTGCAATGTGGCCACTAGTCTAGGTGGCTCGACACTGCGTGCACTATGTTGAGATAAGATGGTGGTTGGAGTTGGTCAACAGGAAACCCTGGACCCGAGTTTTGTGCTGCTTGACACTCGTCAGTAAGGTGTACCTGTAATCTTGAGGAAACTGGTGGTAACGTCTCTGACTGTGAAGCTGACTGACACGGGATCGAATTCGTCAAGGAGCAACAGTTCCCTCAAGATTACAGGTAAACCTTGCTGACAAGTGCCAAGTAGCACGAAACCCGGGTCTAGGGTTTCCTGTTGACCACCTCCAACCACCATCTTATCAAAGAATGATCCATCACTGGGATTCTGTATATTTTGTTAAAATCCTTCATCTCTACTTCACTTATTAAGAATATGAAAAACTATCAGCATAAATTACTCTACGTGAAATAAAATATTAAAAGGACAGGTTCATTTTTTCGTCACATTCATAGATTCCATTGACACTGAATTACATTGCTAACCATTCCTCACATAAAACTGATTCTTACGAAATCTATCGAATTTCTATACATCTACATAAGCGTGGTTCGACCTATCTAAACGGGCTTAAAATATATTGAAGTATGTATCCTGAATTTGATATGAAATATGCTGAATATGGAAGTTTTCTTTCAGAATGGATAATATTGACTTTATAATCACTTTTTCTCAATACTGTCCATAAGAACTTATCTTATGAAGATCTTTCAATCTCAGTCTGATGATGCTCAGTAGTTAATAAAATTATTTTTGAGTTTACAAATAATTTTTATCAGAAGGGGTTTTTTTGGAGATTTTAGTAATTTTATATAGTTGAGATCATGAGTTAATTGAAGCTAGACCACCATGAAAAACCTGAAAACTCTGGACGGCTGTTTCGTCCTATTGTATGACTCTTCAACAGTGCGCATCCACGATCCCGCCTAGCGAGATTAGAACCTAGGATCTACCAGTCTCAAATTCAAAATAATTAGATCGAAAATATATTTAAAGTACATCGACACCAAACTATTGTAACAATCTAAGATGATCATTTTATGTTATGTTTAATTGTGCTAGTGTATTTCTCCAAACAAAATTACCTGATACAGGTCGATACGAAAATCGCCATCAGTTGATGGAAAAGTTGTGTGGCATGACTCAAAATCGGTCACAAGGGCTCAGATCCGTTAACTTTTATTTTCCTATTGATTTGTTCATACATACACATTTCAAAAAAACAAAGAATATTTAATCAAACAGTTGTTTTCAATAGCGTTATCATCAGTCCATAATTATTGTATTTTGCAAAGGTCATATTCTAAATGTTTATTCTTCTTTTTAATGGAGTTTTGTTCTCTGAGCTGGATGATTTGGTCGTGGAGCTTTCATAGTCCTTCTGAACGACATCATCAGCACAAACTTCAGGTAGAAGTTTTTCTCATTATCACTGTTATGAAGATATATCAGATACGTAATATTTCACGTTACTACTACTGTCTGAATCTCTTCAAATAAAAATACTTCAAAAAGCAATAAAGCGAGAATTCCAAGATGACTGAAGAAGGGGAATATGTTTGAATTCTAGGTAAATGTATCATGATGTATAATTTCTAAGCTAGCTAGTCATCTTCGTATTTGTTTCGCAAGGCTTATCGACATGTGTCCTAGTGTAGATACTTCACTGAGCATCAACTAGTGAAGTACCAAGTAAAACTAATAAGATTAGCTTCAATATCTTAGAATTACAAAGCTATTTATTTCAGGTATTTATTCGCCATTAGAGTTACTAAACTGCTTTGATTTCATTGCTATACATCTAGTTGATTTCATCTCATGTTCCTAATGTGGTTTGGTGACTTTGGACAACGCTTATGTCTGCCTAAAGCTTATTATTGATTTGAATCAGAAGGGGTTTTATGAAGATTTCAGTATTTTCATAGTTGAAATCATGAGTCAATTGAAGCTAGACTACCATGGAAAACATGGAAGCACTTGACGATCGTTTCGTTCTATTATGGGACTCCTCAGCAGTGCACATCCACGATCCCGCACTCCTGGGATTACTTCTCAGCATATCATTTTACTACGTTAATTTTTTTTTTTTCATTTGACATATATATCCTTAAACTACATGTGATTTCCTATCTTGATTCATTAATAGGCTAATAAATCATATCAAAATGCTGTTGATGGTATGTATCCAACTGATGAATTCAATACAATGATTTATATAGAACCAAATACTGGTAGTATCATAAAAGCTGAGAAAAAACTTCAAATCAATATTGTAGTAAAAAATGATCCAAATTTTAAGCAACTATCAAATCTTTCAACTACTTTATTACCAATTATGTTTATTAATGAATCAGTTCAATTAAATGATACTTTAATTAATCAATTGTTTGTAATATTAATTCAAACACCATATATTGTTCAAATTATTTTAATATTTATTGTTACCATGGCAACAATTGGGATATGTTCAATTAGTTTAGTATATTTTTATCAAAATAGAACAAGTTTTAAGTATACACAACATATTGATAATATTCATGAAGATGAACCGAATGATACTACTTATATAGAAAATGTATCAGAACACCAAATTACATTAGACAATGATCAACAACAAAAAGATCCGATAGCTTAATGTTAATCTTTGAATAAAATGTGTAAAAAAAAAAGAATATTCGATTTCAGTAGTATAAATCACTTTTGTTTTTCTTTCATATAAAATTTGATTATTTCATTACCTATCTCTTAATATTGGATTTATATAAAAAGTATTATAAAAGATCAATAATCCATGGAAATAAACAGTTGTTTAGCTTTCCAAATGCCCTGTTATGTCTGAGGGTGGGGAAAGGTCACCCCCTCCCTCTCAAAATGATCTCACATGGCCACGTGCATACAACGACTGACAGGGGAGTCCTACTCACTGCCTTCTCTCAGTGGGGGTGTTGTTTACGAAATTGAGAGAACGAAAAACGAATGTCCGGCGCTCTAACCGGGTTGACTGGTACGGAGGATCCAATTAGGGGGGTTGGATTTCAAACCAATGGTACACATGGGCTCCAGTATCCTAAGGGAACAAATAGCGTATGAATCAATCGTTGGTCACCGGCTACCATGGGACTACATCTCCTGACGATGGTGCACTGCCTTGTGGATCAGACCTTCACGTCATAGGCTTCTGATGTGGCCACCTGCTTCGGTTTGGGCACCTGTGCAATATCTCAGTCCTCACACAAATCAAATGAGATTTGTGTGGCACATATTTATCTGGTGCTTCCTTGTACCAATATTTATGTGTTTAAATAAAATAAATAAAATATATTCACATTAATGTTGAACAGAATTTTGTTTTTACGCATTCTTACTGATGAAATTTTTAAAACAATCAATAATTGGACAAGTTACTGTGTTTTAAACAATCAACATAAGCATCATCTATGTAAGATTTAACTATTCAGATTTTCTCTTTTGATTAAATAGATTTTTGACACCCCTTTTATTAGAGAACTCAAAGTTAAGATAAAACATTTATTTTATTTGGTGATTGTTTTTTCCTGTGTGAATAACTTTGAAGGTACTCAAAGTAGAAGTATGCCTGTAAGAAGACTTGTTAATCATGGATATCTTCACTCAATCAGACATAATGTAGAACCTGATACGTAAGTACATCGGTTTAGGTTGCCATACTTCGTAATCATATCAAGATAATATTGTCAGGCTAAATCATGGATTTGTAGAGATAGTGAAAATATTAGTGGTAATAGAAAAGATTAAGCATCGAAAATATGATTCAAGAAGAAAATATACATTAGTGCGAAGAATATATAATCTCAGGATTTGAGAGGAGACAAAGAATCAATGCACCTGCGCTATTGTCATATTATTCAAAGCTCCTAACTATTTGTTACGACAATCACATGGAACCCAATCAGGTAGTATAAACTTATTAAAATTGCTCAATCCAATTGTCAATGAACTTGTGGACTGATGCGATATTTTGGTTTGGTTGCTCCTAGCTTTCCTCCAGCATGCTCCTGCACCAGACACCGTCGCTCATCGAGGTAGACGGTGGTCGGGCATATGTAACAGATGTCCCGACTACCTCAGTTGATAAAAATTTACTACCTCATCAAACCATTTACCATCTTACCCAATACTTTATTCCCAACCAAAACATTACTTACCCAGTGGTACTAAAATACAAATGATCAAATATCAGTAGCCTACCAATATCGTCTACTCTTAATGACTATGTTTTACATCCATAAAGTAAAACAGACTTAACTGCTGAGTAGTTAACTCATCCTCTGATTGCAAAACGGATATCTCACCTACGCCTCAAGGACACAATATGACAAGAATCAATCAAGCATTCTGAATCCGTTTAGTGATCTCATCAGACAAAAGACCATCAGGACCGATGACACTCCCATGATAAATGTAGCAGTCGATGATTTCAACTAATCTACTCCCTATCACTGATTCAGCCGATGACGCAAGCCATTCCTGAAGTGACATTTTGCATTTGGAGAGAGAGAACCACATCCCAAGTATGCTTATATTGTTGGTCAAGATGGCCGGAAAACTCTTGACATTATCAGCATTTTCACCAAACAGAAATATATCATTTGTGTATTTTAAGTGAACAAGAGGATTTCCTAGTAGAATATCAACTCAGACGATAAAAGTGTTATCTCTCAGAGCATGTGTATGACGAAGTTAAATAAAAGTGGTAAAGCGAACAACTCTGACGAACTCCACTCGAAGTTGATAACTCTGATGAAAGTTCAAAATAAGCTCTGACTCAACCAGTAGTATATGAATAGAGAGATTGTATAAGGCTAGTTTACTTCTTTGATACTCTTTCAACGACAAAAACCGCTACAGAACCTGGCGATCAACGGAGTCGAACGTCAACCTAATGTCGAGGAATACAACTATAGTCAGACGTCGTAAAATATGTCTACGTTCCAGAAGCTGAATATTTAATCTATACATGCATGTGCAAGTCTGAAACCAACCTGATTTTCTCGGGTTCGCTTCTCACTAGTAATGGAGAGATACAGAAAACTCGAAAAAAGCCAAAAAATGCTCTGAAAACACTGAGAGACATCTTATCCAACCAGGATTCAATAGACGTTTTGCCAGAAACATCTAGAAAGTAAAAAGTCACATGTCGAATTTTGATTAGATAATTTCCTATACTGCTTCTGTGTTCAGTAACGTTCCGGAGTTTTTAGGAAACCTAAGGCCATCTAAAATACTAGAAAAACCCTTGATCTTCTGTAAATAAACGAACCTTTGGAGTAAAGCGTTTGTTCCATATTTCGCGCCTTTTCTCTCGTGTTTAAGTCGCTACGTAGATTTAGCCTGAGGGTTACTAGAAGAGTTTAGGAACCGAATCTAGCGTTCGATTAGAAAACTTAACAACTAGCTCTAGTTAGACGTCAAATCATTATTAAGGCTAATATTTTGTACACTATATTAGCTAAAATGATCAGTCTGTGATTGTTCTTATAGATGATCTATAATCGAGATAAGTCAGATAGGACTACTTACAGTCCTCAGAGATAGATATTTTTGTCAGTTAACTGTTGAGCGTTAAGTGGTTGAAAATTGTAGTCTGAAATCTCTAGATCTAGGTTTTTGTTTGGTTAAAGAAGTACATATCTATCATATGTACATGTTCCCATATCATCTCGAGGTAAAACGGTAGGTGAAAAATTAGTAACTAGGCATGTTATTCGAAAGAGTCGACCGTGCACTTACTCAATGTCCTTTTCTGAGTCAGGAGAACAGTCTTATATACACTTGTTATTTGTGTACAGTACAGTTGTATTTATCAATCTTCGAGAAGTGCCCAACCAAGGACCTGACCATTCTAATGGGAGATTTCAATGCCAAGGTTGGAAAGGACAACACTGGATACGAAGACGTCATGGGACAATATGGACTGGGAGAAAGGAACGAAAACGGTGAGAGATTTGCAAACCTATGTGCCTTCAATAAACTGGTCATAGGTGGCACCATATTCCCACACAAAAACATACACAAAGCCACTTGGATTTCACCGGATCACACTACACAAAATCAAATCGACCATGTCTGCATCAACAAAAAGTTCAGGAGGACGATGGAGGATGTGAGAACCAGAAGAGGAGCTGATATAGCATCCGATCACCATTTGCTGGTCGCCAAGATGAAACTAAAACTCAAGCAGCACTGGACAATGGCGCGGACAACATCACAAAAGTTTAACACGGCCTTTCTTCGAGATGCTGACAAACTCAACGAATTTAACATAGCCCTCAGCAACAGGTTCCAGGCCTTTCATGATCTACTCAATGGAGATGGAACTATCATGGAGAGCAACTGGAAAGGTATCAAGGAAGCAATCGTTTCAACATGTCAAGAGGTTCTGGGCCAAAAGAAGCACCATCACAAGGAATGGATCACCGTTGGTACACTGGATAAAAGTGAAGAAAGGAGGAACAAGAAGGCAGCAATCAATATCAGCCGAACCGGAGCGGAAAAAGCCAAGGCACAAGCCGAATACACAGAGGCAAACAAGCAAGTGAAGAGGAGCATCAGGACCGACAAACGTAAATATGTGGAGAATTTAGCGATGACAGCGGAAAAGGCTGCAAGAGAGGGAAACATGAGACAACTGTATGATACAACAAAGAAACTTGCTGGAAATTACTGTAAGCCAGAAAGACCAGTGAAAAGCGAGGAAGGCAAAGTAATCAACGATATTGAAGAACAACGAAACAGGTGGGTAGAACACTTCAAGGAACTTTTGAATCGACCAGCTCCACTGAACCCACCCAACATCGAAGCAGCACCCACAGACCTCCCAATCGATATTGACCCACCAACAATTGAAGAGATCAGCATGGCCATTAGACAAATCAAGAGCGGCAAAGCAGCAGGACCAGACAACATCCCGGCAGAGGCACTGAAAGCAAATGTAGCAGCAACTGCCAAGATACTCCACATCCTCTTCAGTAAGATTTGGGACGAAGAACAAGTACCAACAGACTGGAAAAAAGGACTTCTGATCAAGATACCAAAGAAAGGCGATCTGAGCAAATGCGACAACTACAGGGGCATCACTCTTCTCTCAATACCAGGAAAAGTGTTCAACAGAGTATTGTTAAACAGGATGAAGGATTCCGTGGACGCCCAACTTCGAGATCAACAAGCTGGATTTCGTAAGGATAGATCGTGCACAGATCAAATCGCAACTCTGCGGATCATTGTGGAACAATCAATCGAATGGAATTCATCACTCTACATCAACTTCATCGACTACGAGAAGGCATTTGATAGCGTGGACAGGACGACACTATGGAGGCTTCTTCGACACTACGGCGTGCCTGAGAAGATAGTAAATATCATACGGAACTCCTATGATGGACTAAACTGCCAAATCGTCCACGGAGGACAACTCACTGACTCGTTTGAAGTAAAGACCGGTGTTAGGCAAGGTTGCTTACTCTCACCGTTTCTCTTTCTCCTGGTGATCGACTGGATCATGAAGACGCCAACGTCTGGAGGAAAGCACGGGATACAGTGGACAGGCAGGATGCAGCTTGACGATTTAGACTTCGCGGATGATCTGGCTCTTCTATCACAAACGCAACAACAAATGCAGGAGAAAACGACCAGTGTAGCAGCAGCCTCAGCAGCAGTAGGTCTCAATATAAACAAAGGGAAAAGCAAGACTCTCCGATACATCACAATATGCACCAATCAAATTACACTTGAAGGAGAAGCTTTGGAGGATGTGGAAACCTTTACATATCTGGGCAGCATCATTGATGAACACGGTGGATCAGATGCAGATGTGAGGGCGCGGATCGGCAAAGCAAGAGCAGCATATTTACAACTGAAGAACATCTGGAGCTCAAAACAATTGTCAACCAAC